GTTGTCTAATCAGTTTCTTGATGTTAAGTTGCAATTCATCAAGAAAGGTACAGTAGTTTTTTTTTAACCCAAGTACTTTCGACCTTTGCTAAGATCATCTTCAGAGATAAATTATAAAGATAAAATATTGTAACTGTTATAAAATCTGCATTCCGTTGTGACTTTGATTTTTAAAACACGCGCGAATGCGCTCTTTTGCAATATAGGAAAGCTTACTGGACGCGAAATAACGAAAACGGAGTTTGGAAATAAAATTGTAATTTTTCTAACATCAACAAAATACAATACTCGCCAGCGGCGTGAAGTAGGTAAACTATTATGCACTGCTCAAGATAAAGGCGTTAGTTAGATCCCGTGACAGTAGATAAAGGCGTTAGTTAGATCCCGTGACAGGACCCAAAGAGTGTGAGTTCAATACCCGGTTAAGGCAGTGCATAACATTCAGAGGGAAATTAACACTAGATAACTGATAACTGATATCCATTAAACATGACACGTGGAACTAGAACAGTCTACACCAGTGAGCGAAAAAAAAAGGGTTCAGTTCGACATTCCAACCACCTGAGAGAGGGCCGGAGCGTACAACGGCCGAAACGTTGTAATAAATATGGCGACAAAGATGAAAACAATAGTCCGAATAATGTAAATAATGTACGATGATATTGTATCTTGGTTGGGAAAGATCCATTTTGGGAGACGTTAACACAACATCTTTCTACAGGGACGTACCGATGAAAAAGAGGCCGAGCCTTGTGATCAATGTCCGGAGAGAGAGAGAAAAAAAAAAGACGAAGAAAAGGATTGCTGCACTTTTTATGCGCTTCCTCGAGCGATTCTCATTAGTTCGACAGTAGCCTACATAATTTTGACCACGGAAATAAGCGATGGGCACGTTTTAATTTCATATAATCTATTTGTAGAGTGTGGAGATTAGATGAAATTAAAACGTGCCCATCGCTTATTTCCGTGGTCAAAACACTCTACAAATACATTGAAGATTATTGTCGGTAGAAAATTCACTGCATGTGATTTACTATAAAAATACATTGCTGAGGATTTTCTTTGACACGCGTAGCAAAATCTTTACTAATAAAACGTACTGACTTGTCTTTTAGATTTCTATCTAGTTGTTTATAAACTAAATGCCCTTCCTGGAATGTAAACAAGCCTATTAAGAACCGTGATAAGAATCAAGGACGGACTATTTCATTTTTGAAATGTTAGCGAGAAGACGAAATATTTGACATCTTTTTTTATTTAATCGGTTTTCAGAAAGCAACATTTGACAGCTCCAAACGAGCGGCAATTGCGACGTTATTCGATCATAACGAAATTTAAACGCGCTTTCAATTGAAACAATGATAGTGTACAAACACAAGCACACATATCACATAAACTTGGATAGAAACTAATTTACACATGTTACTATAAGTACATTTTTTTAATCATATTACCCCATGCGAAGCAGTAAAGCCACTAAAACACAAAAGATAACTGAGTGTGAAAGAATAAGAAAAAAGAGAAACATTATTAAGGAGCGGGAACAATAGAAGAATGATGAACAAGACAGTAGATAACGATTAACATTGCATTTAAAATAGTTGAAGATCAAAGTTGGCTAGAATTCATGGAACCAGAAGAGAGTTTCACAAGCGAGAAGTACGAGAAAAGAAACTGCTAGCATAGAACTTACAGTTACATCTAGCCGATTCAACTATAAATTGATGAGACATTGTTGCCAGTCTAGTACTGCAATGAAATTCATAAAGTCTAAGGAACCAAAGCGAAGAGTCCACCCGAAAATTTATCATTAAATTATTCATAGGAAAGGCACAATGAGGCAGCCTTACGGCGGCAAAAAAGTGAGTCCAAAACACCAGATCAGGACATAATATTGCTGATTCTTCTTTGTATTTTATCAAGAATCTCTAAATATACAGCAGGAGTACCAGACCATATGTGGCAGCAATTTTCAAAACAGGGACAATATATAATGACCTATATTTATTTATAAATATTTAGGTTCATTCCACTGCTGCAAATGACTTAAATGACAACGAAATGCTTTGATAAAAAACAACATTCCTACATTAATAGAAAGACTAGTGAAAATTTCAAGGTTTTACTATTTGAAATTTCTCAATTCTTAAGTTAATGATTGAATAAACCCATAGCGAGTTCTATAGCAATAAATTAACTGTAAAAATTCGTTAAATGTTCGAACTTAATAGTTTTAACAAAATATTGCAATAATAATCAGAAATATGATTCTAGACATTATTTTAAGAAGTTGTAACTTAAATGCGTAAGACCCAGAAAGAGAAAACCTAAATAAAACAAGGAAGATATAGAGGAAACAATATATGTTATAAAAGTGCATTGAAAATGAATTACTATAAGAATGCATTGAAAATTATTTATTATAGCAGTGCACTGCAAATGAATTACTATTGGAATACATCGAAAATTATTTATTATAGCAGTGCATTGCAAATCAGTTACTAGCGGAATATATTGAAAATTATTTATTATAGTAGTGCACTGCAAATGAATTACTATCGGAATACATTGAAAATTATTTATTATAATAGTGCATTGCAAATGAATTACTAGAGGAATATATTGTAAATTATTTATTATAGAAGTGCTTGCAAATGAATTACTATCGGAATACATTGAGAATTATTTATTATAGAAGTGCATTGAAAATGAATTACTATAAGAATACATTGAAAATTATTTATTATAGCAGTGCATTGAAAATGAATTACTAGAGGAATATATTGTAAATTATTTATTATAGAAGTGCTTGCAAATGAATTACTATCGGAATACATTGAAAATTATTATAGTAGTGCATTGCAAATGAATTACTATCGGAATACATTGAAAATTATTTATTATAGAAGTGCATTGCAAATCAGTTACTATCGGAATACATTGAAAATTATTTATTACAGAAGTGCATTGCAAATGAAGTACTAAAGGAATACATTGAAAATTATTTATTATAGTAGTGCACTGCAAATGCATTATTCATTATAGCGATGCAATACAAATGAATACTATAGAAATACATTGAAAATTATTTGTTATAGAAGTGTATGTGAAATATTTACAATTGTAATTCCTTGTAAATATGTCATTCTAGGATTTGCAGAACTTCAACAGTTAAATCTGAAAGACGCACAAACATGCAAAACCTCAATAAAAGGAGGAAGATATCGTGGGCAAAATATATGTCGGCCGTTCATGCATGGGTGCTGTACTACCCTGGGCATTTGTCATGAGCCATGGAACGTGATCTTCTATCATGGGCATCGTCTATTTAGCATTACGGGCAAAACAAGAACATGGGTTGGTGCGTTAGGATGGGGACAGCTTTGGGCAAGTGTCAATTAAAAAGACAGCTGCTGCTCAAGCAAATTCTTGTTGGTTCAGCTGCCTAATTCCATGTTCTTTGGCGATGTTTTGGTGCAAAACCGCCGGTGGCTAATGGCAGGCAAAGACTTGACACATTTCTAAATGTGACCTGGAGCCAACATTTTGAACAAAGTACACAAAATTTACATCGTATCTATTCCAGGTTTAATTAGCACATAAAATGTAGTAAAAAATTGGCAGTAGGTTGAAAGAAAATTCCACTCTGTCAATAAAAAATTAAAACTGTTTGAATTGAAAACATGAACGATTTTAATTTTCTTTTAAGAGAAATGTGTTGTCAATAAATTTAACAGAAATTAGAACTCGAAATTGAATCAAATTATATTTATATTATATTTATATTATATTTATATTATATTATATATAGCAAATTGTTAACAAGACATGTATTTAATTAACTCTTTGCAAAGACATAATTGGCATAACAATACGTTTGAAAAGAAATTGCAACGTTTTCATTTACAATACATTTTCTATAGAAAATTATTTACAAGCGTCTTATGAATATTCAAGAGTAGTCTCCCTTTGTTCTGTTACTCTCCTCTCTGGGAGAGCTATTTCTATTTACTGGGACTATAAAAGTGCACTATACGCAAACCTTGTATTCTCAGTTGAATAAAACTTTCTTAAAGCCTCCACCTGCGTACTTTTGTCATTACAAAGCGTTTCTATAGTAAATAATTTAAAAGCAATTATTTAGTAATTCCTATAAGATCATTTCATATCGAAAATCCATTACAATCTATTACAATTTCATTAGAATCATAGTATAATATTCTTCAATAAAATATATGAATTTAAAAAGGCAAATCATGGGCATTGAATATTGCTTTGAAATTCATTTCTAAAGGAAGTATTTTACATAAACTGTGCTTCCTTCCAGTATAGTAAGTATAGTATTATACCCGGGTTTCTTTTATATCCGGGTTTCTCTTATATCCGGGTTTGGTCCATTTTGTTTAGGTAAGTATGGGAACACTTCATATAACGCTTTTTACGTACAGAACACTAGTTTATTTAACAGTTATAGACATAAAAAACACAGACAAAAATACATTTTCAATCAGTTTTCAAAATAATTCAATCAAAAATTACTTTTTCTTAAAAAAGTCAGTCATTTTTGATTGTACAGAAATCTCTTTGTTAACATCATGAACACTTTCATACAGTCCGTAAATCATTTTCAGTGCGCCATCAGGATTACTGCATTTTGCTTCAAAGTAGGCTGTCAGAGTTTCAAGCGCATTCAATGCAGCCAGAGAATTTGGCACTGCTTTGTCACTTTCAGAAACTTCAGAACTTACGCTTTCAGCATCATCATCTTCGTCAAAATCTTGATCATCCGATTTTATACCACGTGTGATGTCCTTGTCAGTCAGTACTCCATAACATTGTGTACAGTCGTCGAAGCTGATAAATTCGTCAAAATCTGTTTACTCCATGCACGATGGTGGAGAAACTTGATCATTTTCGTCGACTATTTCTTCCACTTCAGCCTGTGATTCAATGACAAAGCCGGCATTTTTAAAACAATTTTGAATTGTTGACGGTTTTACCATGAAAAGTTCTCGCTTCATCATGTGCATGGCCTTCAAAACAGTTATCTGTTTGGCCACCTCGGACAGCGGCACTGGCGGTGTAGCATCGATTGCTGCGATTTGCATTCGAACAAGTTCCCAACGATAATACGCTTTGAATGAACGAATGATGCCTTGATCCAAAGGTTGAATGAGACTGGTGGTGTTTGGTGGCATGAACGACAGTTTGATGTTTGACAGATTTGTACCCGACAGTAAGTTATGACAAGTTGCATTGTCCAAAAACAGAATAATCTTTCGATTTTGAGCAATCATTTTTCGATCAAGCGTTTTCATAACGTCAGTAAACAGCTGACTAGTCATCCAGGCTTTACGATTAGCGAAGTAAGAAAACGGCAGAGTTTTGACATTTTTAAAGCAGCGTGGTTTTGCCGACTTACCAACAACTACAGCCTGCTTTTCACTGCCGTCCATGTTTGTGAACTGAAGTATCGTGAGTCCGTCTTTGGGAACTTTTGTCCCATTTGACTGTTCGTCACCGGCAAATCGCAAAGATCCAGACGGCATGGCTTTGTAGAAAATTCCCGTTTCATCACAGTTCCAAACATCTTTTGGATCATATCCACGAAAAAGTTGCGGCAAAACGTTTGTCACCCATTCCTTGGCAGAACCGTGATCTGCTGACGTTGATTTGCCGTGAAATTTTTTGAACGAAACGTTATTGGCCTGCTTCCAGCGCATGAGCCAGCCATTGCTCGGTTCAAAATCAACTTCAAGATTTACGGCCAGTTGTGATGCTTTCTGCCTGAAAACGTGATCGGTGACGGTAGCTCCATGAGCACATGCTTGCGTAAACCATTGTGTAAGCGCTTCGTTAACGTCCTTGTGCACGGATTGGCGCTTTCGTTTGCGATTAGTGTTTCCGTTGATTTGCATGCAAGATCTGAGATCGTCTTCTTTCTTGAGAATTTTTGCTGCTGTTGAATAACCGATTCCGTACTTATTGGCTGCAGCGGCCAGTTTGAGTTTCTTCACTTTGACATCGTCGATGAGCTCCAACTGCTCAGAATTTTTCGTTGAGACGCCGACGCCGACATCACTAATCGTAATGATCGCAAGCAAACGGTTTTCAGTGGCAAAATTAACAAACAGACAAACTTCTGACTCAACAGAACAGTGGGTAAAGTGAAAGTGCTGTCCAGTAAATGCAACAAGCAAAGTCGGCAAAAAAGCGGTCGGCGCTACCCTTAGACACACAAAGCAAAATCATAAGGTAGAGGGTGTCTCCTACATACACAGATTGGACACACCGTGTCTCTAGACTAGTCAAGATTAAGTCATTGAACTTCACTCTCTCTCTCTCTAACTGACCTCTGTTTGACCGATTTACGACATCACACTGTCACTCAAAACGAAATTTCCTATATCGGGGAGGACCAGAGAAAATCTCTCTTATATCCGGGTTTATCTTATATCCGGATCTCTTATATCCGGGTTATACTGTAGTAAAAAACAAAGCTAATTCATTTCTATAATAAAGTCAGTTTTTCAGAGTATTTTTAGAGTAAAATTTCGTTCCAATGTCTTACTATAGTAAAATAATTTTACAGTGCACTCACACAAAAAATACTCCATTACATTTCCATAGGAGGCACGATGGAGTAATGGATAGCGGCTTGGACGTGTTCCAGTCGAATCCATTACATTCACTTACTAACACCCTTGGGAAAGGTATGAATCTTCGTCTCCTCCTCCCAGCTATGGGTAAATAACAGGACAGTGCGGTCTACCGCAGAAAGAAATGGTAACCTATTGCGGGAAAAATCTGTCTCGTTAGTCATGTATCGAAAGGTACATGATCGTCTAAGCATGTATCACGCATAGCAAATAACTGACTGGCTGATAGTAAAATACCTTCCCCGTGTATTTCTCTACTAAAATACATTTACAACGCATCTCTCTAGGGATTTACTGTTCCTTTCTTAAAAATGATCTGTCCTCCTATATTACAGTAAATGCCGGACAATCTCACAGAAGAAGAAAAGACCTGAGGCAGCAGAAATGTGGTTCTATAGAAGGACACTGAGAATACCCTGAATTGAACATGTGAGTAACGAGAAACTTTTAAGGAAAACGGAAACAAAATGGTCTCTTGTGATGTACGTTGTGGGCTACTGGATATCGGCTAGAAATGAGAAATCGGAGAGCCGAGTTCGAATCCCAGTTGAGTTCGTTATATTTACTAACGAATGAATCCATCTCTTCTCCCTCCAGCTATGGGTTGAATAGCAGGACAGAATGGGTTCTTTAGCACTGGTTGGCAATCCGTCTACGTAGAAAGAAATGGGATCCTACTGCGGAAAATCGTCTGCCTAGTCAGTCAAGAATCGAGACATGATCGCTCGAACGTGTATCACGTATGGCACTTAACTGACTGATATTAAGAATTAGAAAGAGACAGTTGAAGTATCTTTGACAAACAAATGAGGGAAGAGGGCTTAGAGAATTTGACACTCTCAGGACATGTTATAGGTAAGAGAAGAAGAGGAAGAATTAGAAAATAGGCTAAATCCTTTTTTCAAAAGAAGTGTTATTTTGTTTTCAATGCATTTTGATGGGATATCCTACATCAAATTCGAGATATATACATTAAAATTACATTAAATATACATTGGAATTAGTTAATTAATAAATAATTAATTAAGCTCATTACATAAAGGCTGGTGTTTGAATACAACGACGTCTATTTAATTTTGTTGTATTTCTGCATGCAGGATTACATAATATTCATATATTTATTAATATCATTGAATAAAACCTGTGTTTTGTTTTTCCATTATTCAGTGTTGCAATGTATATTAAAATGTCTTTTCAATGTACTCATACAAAATAACTTTCCCATGCATTTCTATAGTAAAATATATCTCCAATACATTTCTATAGTAAAATACTTTCCCATGTATTTCTATAGTAAAATATCATTCCAAAGCATTCCTGTAGCAAAATAACTTTCTAATCCACTGCAAAAGAAAGATTCCTTTTGTAAAACAATTTATCGCTGTATAACATTCCATTGCATCTCTTTAATAAAATTTTATTCTAGACTCGTTCGGTGTATCTTTGCCTGACTTTACACTTAGAACCGAGTCTCTATTGTACGATATGCATATAACTCCATTTATGGTATAATTTCTAAACTGTATCCTGAAGGAAATACCGGAAATACGAGCGTAGGCTGAAAAGTTCATAGGCTGACTATGACTATGAAGGGGTGATGCTAGAACTGTGAACTCTTTCATTCATTAATTTCAACGTGTCTTATTAAAAACTGAATTATTTATTTCCTGGTAAACTCGCGTCTGACTATTCAAAGAAAACTTCAAATGTAACTAATAGCGACTTCATTTCATAATGGACGAAAAAAAGAGGTTAGCGACCAAGAACATTCATACTGGCATGGTTGCTATATTCGAGGATGACAATCCAAATTTATCATCGTAGGTAGCGGAATCTAGGTGGGGGAGGAAGATTCTTGAAGATCACCCAAGGTCTGGGCGTCCTTCATCTGCCACTACCGAAGAAAATATTGATCGTGTTCACCACACAGTGGTGGATGACAGGCGATTGACTATAAATCAAATAACCAATTCTATTGGCATATCCTGTGAGCGAGTTGAATATTCTGTACAATGAACTTGGTATGACGAAGGTTTCTGCTCGGTGGGTGCCACGTCTTCTGACTCATGAGCAAAAGCGTATCAGGCTGATCACATCAGAGGAAAATCTGGCATTGTTTGAGGCAGTTAGTTTCCTTGAATGTTTCCTTGCCCAGGATGAGTGTTGGGTTCATTACTTTGAGCCAGAGACAATCCATACAGTGGAAACACCCTCATCGCCTGTTTCAAAGAAGGCCATGGTCGATTCATCTTCAGGGAAGATGATGAGCTCAGGTTTTCGGAATGCCAAAGTCATTATGTTTATTGACTCCCTTTAGGAGTACTACGCCATCAATGGAAAGTACTATGCCAACTTGCTGAGGCAGTTATGAAAGGCTATCAAGACCAAACAACCTGGTAAAATGACGAAAGGGATCTTGTTTCATCAGGAAAATATTCCAGAACATATGTCTTTGGTTTCAATGGTTGTTATGCGTGACTGTGGACTTGTTGACCACGCCCTTTATTCTACTGATTTGACTATCATCTGTTACCTAACATGAAAGAAACAATTCCCTGTAAACCATTACCGCAGTGATGATGACGTCATGTCTGCTGTGGATGACTTTTTTGACCAGTCAAATCTCAGTTTACCTGGAAAGAAACAATATAGTTATTAATACGAAGAGTTGAAATTGATACCTGTATGATTTCCCAGTTCTAGCATCACTCTATGAACATTTCAGCCTACCCTCGCAGTCATTGAGAAATGTGCTCCTGAACTGGCCCCGGTTCTCTCTAAACTCTACAGAAAATGCCTTGCTGTTTCTTATTTTACCCTCTTCTGTAGTTCCACTTTTAAAGAAAACTGAAAAATGCGTTCATTTTGATTGGCTAGACTGATCGATATAGATGTTAAAGTGTTACAGTATTAATTTTGTTTTCCAAGACAGCATCTAGTGTGAGTTCATACGATTTGTCTGCATAGTAGAACTCGTTTCATTGTTATAACTATTCGTGACTTTTAAGGAATGAAATCGGGTAAGATAACAGTAAATTTTCAGTTCTTTTGTGTGTTGTCTGCCCTTTACATACATTCTCTTTGTTCCTGTCTTACATTTTTTGTCTTCAACCATTATTCTATTTTATTTTCTGACGTCTCTATTTTCACCTTAGTCTTCTGTTTTCTCACTGCAAGTCTGTGTCAATCGACACAAGGCAGTCGAGAATGGTACGTCTGCAATGGTATTAACTGACTCACATAGAGATGTCAATCTCGCCATGGATCTTAGAAGAGATGTCCAGACCATTCTTCTTCTATGTGCTGTGTCCCTTCAGGATGCAGGCTATCATGGCTCTCCACAATTTCCTTTTTTTTGTAACTTAGTAAGTTTTGTGTTTTTGCTATCCTTCCAAATACCTGTCCTGACAACCATTTACACAAGCTCTTTAGGTAAGTTATACGACGCATTACTTTTCCCCGCTTGGTATCCTGTGGGTATTAAATTTTCCAAGCCCTTTTTCCTCATTATGCGCCCCAAAAATGTCAATTGTCTCTTTCTGATTCTAAGTAGAAGTGTCCTTTCTGTTTTTATTTTGATACTTCCTGATGTTAAATGTTGCCATTTTCTCTAAAACATTGTTCAAATGTCCAGTCCATAGTATTCTCATATTCCTTCTTCAGATCCTCGTTTCTGTTGTCTCTTCTTCATCTGTAATGAGATCATTCAGAATTCACTGCCATATAGGAGGGCTGATACTAAATAAAAGTTCAGTACTCGTTTCTTTGTTTCTAAAGATGTTTTCCTGTTTGGGAGGCACGGTGGAGTAATGGATAGCAGCTCGGATTGAAGAATCGGTGACCCGAGTTCGAATTCCAGTCAAATCTATATTACATTCACTTACGTGATAATACCCTTGGGAAAGATATGACACCTCTTCTTCTCCTCCCCAGCTATGGATAAATAGCAGGACAGACCGGGTTCTATAGCCTTGGATGGCAACTAGTCTACCGCAGAAAAAAATGGCAACCTACTGCGAGGAAAAATCTGCCTTGTCAGTCATGTATTGAAAGATGCATGATCGCCTAATCGTGTGTCATGCCTGGTACATAACTGACTGACTTTCCTGTTTGATATTATCGACTATTAAATAAGGAGATGTTTTAAAAAATCTCTCTTCAAAAGAAAATATATTTTATGTTTTCTATGCTCAGTAATTTTTTATCATTTCACCCCAAGCAATATGGCAATGCCTCTAGAACGCAGGGAGGGGGGCTTACAGGAAGTGAAAGTGAAAGAGATTGAGAAGTCCGAAAATGGAGAGGACTGAGGAAACGACAAAAAGGAACAGAGTTCAAGAAGATAGAAGATGGCAAATAACGTTGCATTTAAATTTTTAAAGATTCTAGTAAACAGGGAAGCAAGACATCGGATGAGGTATCCACAGGGGTGAAGTGCGAGAAAAGAAACTGTTAGAGTAGAAGTGGCAGTTGCATTTAACTAGTTC